AGAAACTGCTTATAAAAATATGTACATAAATAGAAATATTAACATTAAAGCCAACAATAACACATTACAAATAGAAATTGAATCATCTCATGACCCAATATTCTTTAATAAGGAAAATCTATTGCAAAACTCTTTGGATTCACTGAAAAAAATTTTGGAGCCCAGGCAAAAACATGTCTCCAAACTTCCAGTAAATATTTTAAAGGTCAATGTTATACAAATACACTGCAACATTGTAACTGGATCGTTTATGAATAATTCACCTGCTCATATCTTACATGAATTTGCTTTAGATGTTCCTCCGGGCTATAAATTAGCTGAGAGACCATTTAATCTCATTTATTTGCCTGTAAACGTCAAAGAAATAAGTCGTCTTGAAGTACAGATATTAGATCAAGAAGGTCGCTTAGTAAATTTTCGAGGGGAGGAAATCACACTTCGAATTCATATAAGATCAAGACAAACATGATTATTTTATAAATATACATAGCTATGTTCCCTATATTCAATCGTTTAAAAATAATGATGAAATTCGTATAAGTATACAAAATCAAGACCTATACGTTCTGCCATCCGAAAGCTATTTATATATTGAAGGCTATTTAAGAAAAGCAAATGGTGAAAATTCTTCAAATGCTAGACTAAGGAATAATTGTGTGGGATATATGTTTGATGAAATTCGATATGAATTGAATGGAATTGAAATCGATCGTACACGTTATCTAGGTGTAACTACGAAAGTTAAAAATTGGATTTCTCTAAGTGAATCTGAAAGTAAAGTTATGAGTAATGCTGGATGGGGTGTTGATGATGTGTCAACCAATTCCTTCAACTTTTGCATGCCACTGAACCGTTTGCTTGGATTTGCTGAAGACTTCAAAAAAGTAATTTGTAATAGCAAACATGATTTGATTCTTTTGCGGAGTGCCAATGATACAAATGTATGCTATTCTACAGACTCAAAAGAAGATATTCGTCTTACTATTACAAACATTGTGTGGAAAGTGCAACACATAAATTTGTCTGACTATAGAAAAATTAGTTTCTTGAAAACAATAAAGGATGGAAAAACATTACCAATAGCATTTCGTAGCTGGGACTGCTACTTTAATCCAACATTTGTTGGTGGAAGACAACACAGCTGGAATGTTAAATTATCGGCAAATCATGAAAGACCACGATATGTGGCATTTGTATTTGAAAAAGATCACAAATTGATGCATTGTGATCTTCAAAACATCAAAGTACATTTGAATTCAGAAACGTATCCCTATGATGATTTAAATCTAAAGTATGGAGAAAATCGCTATGCAGTACTTTACGATATGTATACCAAGTTTCAAGAAACATACTATATGAGAGAACCACATCCACTTCTTTCCTACAAAGGCTTTAAAGACAATCCAATTGCTGTCATTGATATAAGTAATCAAAACGAAGTCGTGAAGAATGGACCAATTGATTTGAAGATCCAATTTGAAACCAGTACACCAATTCCCCCAAATACTTTAGCATATTGTCTGATTATCCATGATCGTCTGGTGGAATACATACCTTTGACTGGAATTGTTCGAAAAGTAGTATAAGATATTTATACTTACATATTATATTAAACATTAAATTTATTTAAATGAAATAAAACACATTTCTTTACAATGAAATAATTTACACTTTGTTTATTATTTATTTATATATAGATACATATATTTTTATGTATTGTTATTTACAATGGGAACTTATAAATATACATTCAATTCATCAATGTCAATATTACATGGAATATCTAAATCTGTTTCCATTGTAATGGAAAAATCAAAGTTTAAACTATTTAAATAATCTTCATCATTTATATACTTTAAATCTATATCCAATGGTCTGAAAAGTCAAGGTTAAAGTTACTTACATATTAATTTTCAATATTTCTATGCCCCCATGCATAAGTATTTATTTTATCGTCTTTGATTTTTCTTTTTGTATCTTTAGAATTTAAAACTATCTTAAGCATTTTATTTGTATACACTTGGTGCATCTTAGACCTAAAATTAATCATGACATCTGTAGTTATTTTTTCATTTAGTAAACATTCTTTATAATCATTTATTGTATATTTTGCAATTACACACTTTTTAACGCCCTTTGCTTTCTTTACTTCTTCGCCATCTTCAACCTGGAAGGAATACATTTTAGGTCCTAATCCAACAAACGTGGTCATAATTCTTCCACAGTTCTCATCCTTCATCATACCAATTATTTTCTTATTTTTTCTGGGGATTTTATATATATTGTCATCTGGATAATCGGATGTATCAAACTGCAAGTCAATGTCAGATTTTATGTCTTCGTATACATCATCCGTTTCAATATCTAAAATAAATGAGTGTATAACAAAGAGTTGCACGATTGCCAAATTTTTTTAATATATCCATAAAAGAAATCATACATTCTATATTTAGCAAGTTCTAAAATACAAAAACCTAAATAAAATGGGTTTATTGTATGTCACGTTTATTTTGTTCATTTGGATTGCCCATAATTCATCATCAAATTGTGATGCACTATGAAAGTTTGGTTTTGATATCAATTTTTGAGCACCAATTCTACGTCTATCTTTATATTCCCAATGATTGACTAGTTTAATGTTCTTCCTTTTATCCACGTTTTCCATTGTTTTCCCAAAAACAGAATTGTTATATAGTTTATATAAGTCTTTAAGAAATGAATTAGATGCCTTTTGTCGTTCGGCTGTATTTTTATCTATATATGGTGCTAACCATGGAGATTGACGAAACGAAATTACAAAATGAACTTTTGTTAATTTTAGCCCATTTTCTAAACATTGTTTTAAATTCATATAATGTATTGCGTAGTTTTCATTGTGTAGATCATGCAATTCTTCCGGATACTCAAGGTCTACTACATATATGTATCCAATGGTAGAATTATGAATGAATTTAAGAATTTCCTCAACATCTGTTATCGCCTCCTCAGGTTGCAACCATTTAAAATCTCCTTCTGGAAGATACTGCTTCATTCCCCAACCATACAAATTATTGGCATCCAAATATAATAAATAATGTGATGGCAAATTTGGATTGTAGTCTTTCATGTACTTGTTATTTGCTTTTGCAAATCTTTTGGTACATTGAACTAGACCACCCCTGATACCTTTTTTAATAACATTGAACATGTTCAAATCTCTTAGAAGATCAAGTGTTATTTTCGTAAAACGTAACATTGCATCAAAAGACAAGCCTGGTGCAGTATAGTACTGACAGGGATCAAGTTTATGAACTCTTTTACAGGAATTTCTAAAATTCTCGAATACATCTGTTAATAGGAGCACATCCGTCTTCAAATATAACTCCATATAGTCTTTTAATGATTGACAGTTAAACGTCTCCCACACACGTTTTGCATGTTCATAATCACCAAAAGTACAACTGGAATTATATAAAGTGCTGTGGAAATCGTCAATGGATGGAAGAACTGTATCATTTAGTTTATCAAAGGAGTCTAAATATTCATAGCAAAATATTCCTTTTCGCCTCATTAAATTAAATTGGCTATCATTGGGAAAATGTGCCCTAACTGATTTCAAATCTACATCTTCCAAATTGTTGGCTAACGTTTCCAAACTTGCCGCCATAAATTTGAAGGAATCTAAAAACCTATATTCAAATTCCATACCATTATCCATATCAACAATATGTGATAATGAAATATATAATTCTTTATTTTGTGGAATTATATTAGTTTTCTTACTAGGGATATATTTAATTAGTTCTTTTATAAAAAGATGGCAATCGTATCCAGAAAAATTGTGGAATAAAATGGGTATAAATGTTGGAATAGTATAGTTTAAATTGCACTCGTTGTGTGCAGCTCCCCTATACTGACCAGTTATGTGACAATGATCACGAACCCTATCACTACCTAATTCCTCATCACAAATATGACAATATACTGCAGTGGCAAAGTCTACAATTTGAGATGGCGTTAAAGGTGTCATTGGCTTATTGTTACTTAAATATTTTTTATGAATATCCCTACACTTATTATCCAACATTTTAACAAATTTTTCTACTGCATCCTTACCAGTATATATATAATTCATCTAAGCTATTATCAAAATTACATTTAATATTAAAACTAAAAGCACATGGAATATGCTTATTTATTATATTATCTATGTTCGCTGTTTTTTCTAATACGCATTCAAAGTCTGCGTATATAACAAACGGGACATTCATTTGCTTCTTATAGTTTTTAAAAGATAACGTGCTTTTACCTTCTTCTGGCATTTTTGTAACAACTTTACTGCATAGCTCCTTGTGTCTTTCCATCATTTCTATCTTGTTTGTATAATACAAACACTGGTTGCAAATATGTAGACGCCTATGGTCTTTTTTCAAATGGCTATGCACTAACCTAAAATAAAAAAATATAAATAAATAAATATTGCATAATAATTGATTTTTTAATAAAATCACAATTTACCTAGATAAATATTTTATCCAAATGTAATGCGCTTTGTCATCATTTTCCAGCAACAACAAATTCACATGCGTATCTCTTACATGTTTCGTGATGAAATATGGTCCAACTATGGAATGTGAAGAATAATCGAATCCAAACACATTGATGCTAATGTTTGGATTTTTTTCTTCAAACACTTTTATGTACTTCAGCTCCATCGGAAATTCTATTCCTTCAAAATTCAGAGTTATTCCATTTTGTAACACTATAAATGATGAGTTAATATTTTCTATTGCATATGAACATGTTTTTGAAGGGTTTTTAGGGAGCGGAGTTTCCAATGCAGCAATCATACACCATTTAAAGCAATATATGTCTTGGTTATAAATATTGATACATGCTCTTTTATTTTTTATTACTTTAGGGGTTGGTATATATTGAGAACCTCTTATAGGCGAATGCTTGTAAATATTGATTTTCAAACTAAAAATCTTTAAAAGTGCCCAACCAGAATCCCGTTCTTGAAACTCAGACATCTTCGTTTTAATATACTCGAAATGGTCATTCAATATAGGATCTATGTTGGTAGCTCTATCAAGCTGTGTAACTTTGGTATTATGATATATTTTTTTTACTATTAAGTTTTCGTTCGATTGTTTAACATATTCTCCACATAGCTCCAATTGAAATTTGATTAACTTGTGGCGATTTAATGCATCTTCAAGCTGGCTAATAATTGTATGTTTTGCATCCTGAAATATAACGTCAACCTCTAAAGTTTCTTCCTTGATTTTGTATTCGAAGGTTTGAATTCGGTTGTAGTATCCACTTCTTACTAATTTCATGTTATTTTTTCTTATTTGATTCATCATCTTTCTGTTGAATTTGTTGTTGGAGATGATGTTGTTGTTGATCAAAGCTTTGTGGGTTTTGTCTTATATCTGCATGAGTATAATTTTGATGTTGCTGAAGGTATGCTTGCTGTTGGTGTTGATTGCTTTGCTGCCATAATCCTTGAGGTTGTTGCCATGTTCCTGTAGGGTGTTGAAAGTGTGCTTGTTGCTGCCTTATTTCTTGAGATTGTTGCCATGTTCCTGTTGGCTGTTGAAAATAAGCTTGATGTTGTTGTTGATCATTCAATGTTGTTGTATGTTGAGGATTTGCATGTTGCTGATTTGTTTTCTGTAGTCCTTTGAGATGATATGGATGATAGACCTCATAATGCAATTTCAGAGCTTTGTTGTGTAAAAACATTTTGTTGCATACTACACAAATTTTATGCAATAGCAAATGCTTTTTAAAAGCAACAGTAGAGCTGCATGTTTTCGAACAGAAATTGCATTGATATTTTTCCATTTTAAACTTTGCCGATAACAATTAATATTCACAGAAATAAGTTCACTTTGCGTGTAATTGTCCGTGAAATAGCACTTTTTATCTTTCAGAATTAATTCTCGTTTTAAATATATGTGTCTTTAAATTTTTATTTGATTAGAATAAAATCACTTTATCCACTTTAAAGAAAACTTTTATAATATTTTAGAAAAAATAACTTTAAAAATGTTGTAGTAGTTTTATTGGGATGTATGTGGTTTTGAAACGAACTCTCAATTGAAAGTGAGAAACTTATTACTTTAGCGGCAGAATTAAACCTATGTTTGACATTATCTTGTAAAAGAAACATTTCTCCTCAAATCATATTCCAGTATATCTAAAAAAAATAAAGTGTTTTTTGCTTGAATGCAACAAGTGTGTCTGCTAGCCAACATACTGCAGTGCATACAAATTTAAACATAAACAATTGTCTTATTCATCAAATGTGTCTGCTAATCCAGCATACATATTTCAATTTATAAACTCCATAGGCATCTCAAAACACATTTCCTTGGGCGACAAACATACCTCAATATGATTACAAATAAACATGACTACATATCTGTTTTATCGCCTTCAAGTGTAGGGACATTGGATATACATATGAGTCTGAATGTAGGGTACATTGGCGAGCGCCCACACACAAACCAATTACCACTGTTTTCATAAGACCGCTTAATTACTTTCAAGTGTCAAAAAAGGTGGCAATGTACTAGCAGTGGTATTTGAAAGAACG